AAACCCTAAGCTCTACACCCTAAACTTTTAAACCCTAAACCCGAAGAGCCCGAGGATGCCAGGAGACCTCCTCGGCTTGGCAGCCAATGCGTTCACCGCGGCAGGGGAGATTCCCCGCCCTCTGGCCGAGGCGCCCAAGGGCTCCAACCGAAGACAAGGGTTTAGGGTTTAGGGCTTAGGGTTTAGGGTTTAGGGTTTAGGGTTTAGGGTTTAGGATTTAGGGGTTTGGGTTTAGGGTTTAGGGTGATGAAGATGATGATGAAGATGATTATGCTGAAGAAGAAGATGGTGACTATGATTGCGATGAGGTGATCAGGCTGAGGACGGCGGAGAAGACGACTATGCTGATACTATCAATGATAACAGCGATATTGGTGATGTCAACGATTGCCATGATTATGATGATGGCGATGATGACGATGATTATGATGATGGCGATGATGATGATGATGATGATGATGATGGCGGTCATGGTGATGATGGCATGACTACTGGTGTTGCTCTGGTGATGGTCGTCAGTACATCATGATCACGGCGGTGACTATTCACTTGAACAGTGTTGCAAATGCCTCCTACTGAAGAAGGCTGAGAAGGCTTGGAGCATGTTGCTACTTCCGGCAGAACCCTTACCAGATCGTATGCGTAATGTAGGGGTCTCAAATATTACCTATACCATTTAGGGGGTTCCTTGTCATAGTTACAGTATATTGGGCCCCAAAACCCTACTCTAAATACTAAGACCCCTAACATCAAACCCTATCATTGATCCCTTATAGAACCCTTTATAAGGATACCTTTAAAGGAACCCTATTCTAATTATTAAGGCCCTATATTACTTTCATGTTGTCGTGTTCGTCTCCTGGGTCCCTCGCGGGTCTCTGACTCTCCCAGTAATTGTCTGCTTGGGTCGGTTTAGGGTTTAGGGTTTAGGGTTTAGGGTTTAGGGCTTAGGGTTTAGGGTTTAGGGTTTAGGGTTGTTGTGGTGGTCTCCTGGGTTCTAGTGTTCTTTGGGTGGGTCTGGGTGGGGTCTGCCGTCCTGGTCGTATTATAGAAGCCTAATTCAATAATTACCAATAACATTTTTGGGGGGGTCCCTTATTGTACTTAGTTCCCCAATAGCCAACCTTTCAACTTTTGGGTTCTTATAACTTAGTAGCAATCTGAAATATTAACCTTTTATTTCCCTTATTGAAGAAGTAAGTGTAGTTATAGTATAAGGGGCCCAAAACCCTATTTTGTGTATGAAGGCTTCTACATTCGTGGCCGTCAGTCCCCCTGGTTCAAAGAAGAGCATCTTGTGTAACGCCGGTGTGTGAGGGGTGTGCACGGGGTTGCACGTGGGGTGCATGCGTGTTGTGCGGGTGTGTGATGGGCGCTGGTAATTTTGATGTAGAAATGTATATACATATATATATATATATATTTATTTATTTTTTCTTACTTACTTAACTAATACATATATATATATATATATACATACGGTCCTTCACTGTCTGGCGATCTGCGCTGGCATAATGTTGCCTTCTCTGTATTCCTCTAGAGCCCCGCAGACGTCATGCGAAGGTATGTTGCAGCTAGTCTAGGTCTGCACATTGCCTGGAGGATGCTGTTGGGAGCCCATGGAGCATAGGCCATAAGTCCATACGTAGCTACATATGCAGTATAGGGTTACAAGTGAGACATGATCTTCGTTGTAGTCCGTGCCAAGTTTGCACATCTCGAACATGCCTCTGCTAAAACCTGCCCTCCTGAATCCCTCGGTACCCGCGCGGTCTGAAGACTTGTCCTCAAAACCATAAGCCCTATACCCTAAACCCCTAGCTAGACTGCTAAACCCTAAACCCCTAGCTAGACTCCTAAACCCTAAACCTAGCTAGACTCCTAAACCCCTCAACCCTAAGCCCTCAAATCCTCAACCCCAAAACCCCAAGAGACTCTGCAAGGCGATCTCAAAGCGAGTGGTAGCTGAAGCAGACCTGGCAGATGTGCCGGTGGGCCGATCCGTAAAGTTATGAATGTTGGGGTTTAGAGTTTAGGGGTTTAGGGTTTAGGATTTAGGGGTTTGGGGCTTAGGGCGGCTTAGGGCTTACGGGTTCAGGTTTTGGCAATGTGGGGTGATTTAGGGATCTAGGATTAAGATTGTAGGATTCACTGTGCTTTTGAGATAAGATTCAAGAGGTTCAAGACGTCATGAGTTGTCATTCTCTTGTGTTTAGGAACCCTAAAGCGGGACTGGTAAGGCTGCCTGGGCATCAAGTTAGGAGCCCTAACCCTAAACCCGAAACCCTACACCCTAAACCCGAAACCCCTAAACCCTAAACCCTAACCCCTATCCCATAACCCTAAACCCTACATCAAGTTAGGCCTTGGGTGTTTGACCTCACTTCATTGCGTGCTCGGCTCTTACAGGGGCCGTCGGGGCTCTTCGTTCGGTGTCTTGGGGGCCCAGTTTAGGGTTTAGGGTTAGGTCCATGTTTTTTCTTGGGAGGTTACCTTGTAGGATCCTGAAGACATAATTGGCTAAACTAGAAAAGGAACGACAACGGAGAGCATAGGTAAAGCCTAAACACTCGATCCCAAGGTCGAAAGGACTCAAAAGTCCTCGGTGGTCCCGATGTGAGGTGCTCGTTTCAACCTGAGGATGCTATCAATCCGAGATGGGAGCCCTAACCCAAAACGCAAACGCACCGACACACAATTTGAAAAAGGTGGAGTTAAGGGATTCTATGAGCCCTAAACTCCTAAACCCCTAAGCCCCATTTGCTTTCAAGCCTGATGGGCCAATCGAAAGCTCGAAGGGGTTGCCGGGCTTCCTTTGCAAGATGGCTAGAAACCTCATAGTCTCCGGCGAGCTGAATATCCTAGGTAGTATTAGGGAGACCCCTAAACGGGGACTCTTCTTAACCCTACTTCTGGCTCGCTTAAAAAGGGACCTTATTCAGAGGGTCTATATCCCCAAGGGTCCCCCTAATCCTAGCTCCTAGAATAGTTTTAGGGTTCAGGGTTTAGGAATGCTTAGGGATTGTTAGAATCATTCAAGGTTGAGGTCGTAAAAATTATGAGTTTGTTGCACCCAGCCAGTGTAGGGTCCGTGTCTGACTTTTCAGGCCCCAAGAGAGATCCAATCTAACCATAGGCCCCATAGTAGTTCCTTTTGGGGGGGGTGACCTTATAGGATTTTTATAAAACCCTAAACCCTAAACCCACAAAGGAACTACTTTAGGGC